CAGATTTTCTTAGCTTTTGTTTTTTGAAAATTTACTTTTTGAAAGGGTATGTTTGGAAATTATAGAATCCTATATTGACATTTTCTCCCAATACTGTCCTTTAAAGATAATCCATCTTATTCTTCTGGTTTGTATTACATCTGATGGGAAATCTGCAGTCCAGTGATATTTTATCCTTTCCCTTTATTTCTCTGTACAACATAATGCATGATTCCTACATGAGCTCTATGATTGGTCTTTAGAAATTTGGTTACGATTTATTTTGCCTTGACTTTCTTTGTATTTGTTTCGCTTGGGATTTCATTTCAAAATCCATTTTTGGACATCTTTTACAAAACTCTATTTGTATATTTGTAGTTAACAGAAGAATTTGGGAGTTTTTAGCATTCCATTTAAAATCACCAATGACCACAGTGAATCCTTAGTACTTTCTGAGGAACATTTCACTTGAGTTACTTAGCAGTTTGGGCCTCAGTGCGGTCCATGTGTCTTCCGAGGAAGGAAAGCGTTCCGGTTCTCCCCATCCATCGCACCTTCCAGACATTCTGCGGACACAGATACTGACTGTGGGGTGCAGCGTGGTGTTTCCCTTCCCTGCGTGCCGACTGTGGGGTGCAGCGTGGTGTTTCCCTTCCCTGCGTGCCGACTGTGGGGTGCAGCGTGGTGTTTCCCTTCCCTGCGTGCTGGCCAGAGCAGCGAAGTCGTCATGCTCATGGCCTGTGACGGGACGGCCGGGAGTCCTCCCGCTGTGGCACGCAGTTCAGTGGGAGCCAAGCTCCCTGCCAGCGGGCCCCGCCGAGCGGCCGCCGCTTGTACCCGTCCCCTCCCTCTGCAGTCCACTCATGCCCTCCTCCTGGGTGCCCGGTGCTGTTCTCTACCTTTAGGAGAGCCATGCTGCTGGCTGCTTGTCATCCGTAACCCAGTGCGTAAGAAAGACAGCTTCAAAGGAGAAGGGTTCCCTTTAGCTCAGCTGGAGAGGTGTCAGAGCTGGGCACCTCCCGGGAGGAGAGCAGGAGGAGGACTGTCCCCAGGGCCTTGCTCTGTGCTCTTCCCCTCCTGCCAGGCCACGCCCCGGGCTCCCATCCCTCTCAGTGGGGTCCGCAGGTCCAAGGCTCAGGTTCAAGGCTCGGTGTCAGCAGTGGCGAAGCCTGAGCCTGCCCCCTCGCTCTGGTCCTGCCTGAGCTCCCAGCTGGCCTGGGGACCATCAGCTGACAGACACCACCCTCTTCTGACAGCACCCGGTGTGTGTGCTTTTGTGCTTACTTGATGTGAATATTGACCTTAATTTTCAAATGAAAGTGTTTCTGATTTGCATTAAATTACTGATATGAATCATTTTAATTTTTTAAAAGCTTGTGACAAGTAACTATAATAAAGGAGTGAATTGTTTCTTATCTGTGTTTAGGTGAAAGTCCTGTCAACCTGTTGTTTAAATGTGGAGAGAGGGCTTTTCCAGTGACAGGTTAACCGTATTTTTAAAAGAAGACTTTTATTACTTACTGTCAACTGTTTTTGCTTTGAAATTCATTAAAGGCTTAACACAGTGAGACTTTTTTTTTATTTTATTTAAGGAGAAAAAAAAAACAGAAAAAGGGTACAAGTTATACAGAATTTCAGAAAAAATAAACAGTAGGAAGTCACTAGTTAATTACATATTGTCATCTTAGAAATAGTTGTTGAAGTTACAAAATTAAAGCATATAGAGGGGACTTTCAAACAGTGAGACTGCAAACAGTTTTGTTCAGTGATCCAACAAAACTCAGTAATATGGTTTATCTATCTTATACACTTAAATATATATGCAGTTATATCTTTTAGAGGACTTTCTTTTCCTTTCTTTTGTACAATGACAATTACACATTTTGGGTTTTATTACTCCGACAGTTCTTATTACTTTTTTTTTTTTTTTGAAGAAAGTAAAACCAAATGTGACATACCAGGACAGAGTCAGTCAAATCAAAAGGATGGACATAATACATAATGTAAAAACAGAATACAAGGTGATCAACAGTGGTTACCATAATGCCTCTTGTTATCTTAAAAAGAATTGCCTATATCATCAGTTATAATAAAATTGAACAAAACAGTGAAGAATAAGACCAATAAAACCAAAACATTGGAGACATTAGAGGACTTCAAAAGAAGATAATAGTCAACCAGAATGGGTGTCACAATGAATCGTATTGTCTTCATAGTTGTTGCCTATACTTTCAAACTTGGTACTATCTAGCATAACAGAATAGAGGAAAATCAGTCAAAACAAGATGGTGAGAGCAATACAGAGGTTCCAATCAAGTTAATAGGAAATCAAAGTGGGTTACTATATCCTGCTATTTTTATTTATTTTTCCCTTAATTAAAAGGATAAAAATGAAAAAGTAGATAATAAAAAGGAGATTGAGATAAAAAAGAAGGCATAACAACAAAACAGTGCAGGTCAAAACATAGCCATTTAAGCAAAATAGTGTTTCACCACACGGTAATCTTGACAATAGTAGTTACCATAGTGTCTCTTCCCTTAAAATCTTTGGGTATAACTTCGTATACTGTAGCATCAAACATATCAAGACAATGTAAAACCATTCAAGAGAATGACAGTATTACAGGGTATTTAGAATCAACTAACAGAAAATGAACAATGGTTTTTGTATAATCTCCTTGTCTATAAAAGTTTTTGTTTATATTATCACATATAATAAAATCCAATAAGATACAACATGTTAAGACCAATGGAGACAAAGAACAAAAGCTTGATGGGACTTCAAAACAAGAGGATATTAAATCAGCACTACCTATTATGATGTCTTGTTTTCTCCAAAATAGCTGTTCCTACCATCCAGCCTTCTCTGCCTCATTTCTGTTGAGCTCTTTTTCTGTCATTAGTTGTCAGTTTGTCTTCTTCATTTCGCTTTCTGCTCCATTCATTGTGGCTGCTCTGCCACTGTTTCTGGAATCTTGGTATTTTTCATTTTTAGAATGTCCTGCAGTAATCTCTGTATAGTTGAATTGGTGGTTGCAAATTCCCCTAGTTCCTCTTTATCCTGGAAGCACCTTGTTTTTCCATTAATTTCTAGGGACAGTTGTGCAGGATATATCAATCTTGGCTGGAGGTTATTATCTTTCAAATTGTCTTTCACTTGAATCCCCCCCCCCCACTCTTTGTGATTTGATGGTTTGTGCCGAGAAGTCTGCTGTAATTCTGATGGGTGTTCCCTTGTAAGTGATCTGTTTCTTGTCTCTGATGGCTTTTAATATTCTGTTCTTATATTGGATTTCTGGAATTTTGATTATTATATGCCTGGGTGTAGCTTTGTTTGGGTTGTAGGTGGCTGGTGTCCTGTGTGCCTCATACATCTGAGTATCTTTACCTTTTGCTAAATTAGGGAAATTCTGGATTATTTCTGTGAATAGCTTTTGTAGTTCATTTGTTTGAGTCCCTACTTCTTCTTTTATGTTCTTAATTCTTAAGTTATAGATCCTCTTATCATCTTCAAGTCTTTGTATTATTGCTGTTTGTTTTCTTGTTATTTTTAAGAAGTTTTTCATTTCATGCTCCCACATTACAAATCTGTCCTCCAGTTCTGATAATCTATCCTTAGTTTCTTTCAAGCTGTTATGCCAGCTTTCAATAGAGTTTTTAGTTTCCTGGTAATCTCTTTGAATCTGCTTCATGTATTCTATGTTTTCTCTATTTTCTCCATCAAACAATTCTCCCCTTTTTTTCTGTTCTTCCATTCCACCATCTGTTTTTTCCTGGGTGGTGCTTAGCATTTCTCTAACTATTCTACTTATTTCTTGCTTTATTTCATTAAATACTTCACTTTTGAACTCGTCTATGAGGCTCTGGAGATACCGCTTTATGTCTGTAGGTGCCGTGTCTGATATTGCATGTTTTCTGTCTTCATTCTCCTTTGCATTTACCTTTCCTGGATCAGTGTTCTCAGGATTGGGGACTGAGGACCCTTTCTTGTTGCTCCCTCTTCCCATACTTTTTGTTCCTTCCATACAAGCGTATGTAGGAGGCCCAGTTTTTTTTTTTTTTTTTCTCTTTGTCTGTTACAGTTTGTTTGAATCCACCTTAGGCGTTCCCACCCACTGCAGTGTTCTAGGGAGACACAGACCTGGGCAGCCTCTGCTGGGCCCGCCCCTCCAGGTCAACCTACTGAATGCTTCACTGCTAGGGTGCATGGCCAGGCGCAGGGACCTGATTTGGACTAGCTTACTGGATCTTAGTCCGCAGCGTCACCAGGCCAAGCGCTCCCCACTACTCCCGATTGAGAGGGGAATATGCGACTAAAGTCACTGCAGGGCCCTGTTCCGGCTTGTCTGCTCGTTCCCAGAATGTCCTCTGTTGGAGCCTCGTAGTCTATGAAAGGGTCCCCATTTCTCTCACTCACCGCAGGTCCATGCAGGGCTCCCTGCCAGTCCTGCTCTCAACGCTGTTTGGTTTGCCGATTCCAGCTCTCAGAGCTTTCGCACATCTCTCCCTGCCGTGCAGATTGGGACGCAGTAGCGGCAGCAGGAAATTCAAATCGCGGCTTCCAATGGCGCAGTATCCAGCTTCCGCACTGAGATTTTATCTGTTCCTGTTATAGCATCAGGATTGCATTTCCAGTTCGTTTCTGTCAGCTTAGTTTGTTCCTGGGTCGGCAGGGTACATTTCCCCTCGTGTAGGACTCCTCACATGGAACCGCTCCTGGATTCTAAACTGGTAATCTCAGAGAGCCTCCGTGGCTGCTGTTATTTGTCCGCCATGTTCTCCCAGAAGTCAACACAGTGAGACTTTAATGGCAGATTTTTTTTTCCTTTTTGGTCTTTTTGAGAGAGATTTCACTATGCAGTTCAGGCTGGCCTTGAACTCACTTTGTAGCCCAGGCTGGTTTGGAACTCATGGCGACCCTCCTGCCTCAGCCTCCTGTGTGCTGGGATTACAGGTGTGCACCACCACACCCAATTTGGCAGATTCTTTATTGTCAGATTTCTTTCCTTCTTTCTTTTTAGGCCTGATCAACCCCGAATAACCAAAGATGTAATTTGTTTTCATGCTGAAGATTTCTTAGAAATAGTTCAACGAATGCAGTTGGATTTGCATGAGCCTCCACTGTCCCAGGTAAAGTTTCAGTAACTGCTGTCTTTAGTTTAAGTGTTTTTATGGAAAATACTTATGTGCATTCCTTTCTCTTTGTTCAGTGTGTCCAGTGGATTGATGATGCAAAACTTAATCAGCTGAGGAGGGAGGGCATCCGCTATGCCAGGATCCAGCTGTATGACAATGACATTTACTTCATTCCGAGGAATGTGGTTCATCAGTTCAAGACAGTTTCCGCTGTGTGCAGTTTAGCATGGCACGTTCGGCTCAAGTTGTATCACTCGCAGGACGACGTTACTCAGAGCACAGCTGCTCAGGAGGCAGGGGCCTCCCCTCCCAGCGACAGCAGGATGTGTGCTGCACGGAAAACCTCCTCGGAGTCTGGGTTTTCAGACAAACTCCACCCGAAATATGAATTAGCGCAGACTAAACATGAACCTCCTGCGTCTGTGAGGGTCAAAGAAGAACCCATGAGTGTTAATCCTCCTGTGAAGGCCAGAGCCCCGAGTAACACGGATGGGAAGAGTGTTAAAGCAAAACTGGATCATGTTCAGTTCACAGAGATCAAGATTGACATGGATTCTAGCTTTGAAAACAGCAACAAGGACCTGAAGGAGGAGCTGTGTCCCGGCAGTGTCCTAAGTCTAGTTGATACGAGGCAGCATAGTTCGGGACACAGCTCAAGTCAAGACAGACAAGATGATGACATTTTGTGCTAGATTTGTACAGAGCATTTACAATTTCTTTTTTTAAAAAAATTAATAATGTAATAAAGAATCATGAATTCTGGAAGCAAGCAAAGGACTTGCTCTCAAGTCTGTTACAGAACATAGATGATGTGGCTTTGTAACATTCCTCAGTGCCTGTGCTAACTGTGAAGCAGCAGCACTCAAGGCCAGGGGCACTGTACACACTGCAGGTTTGAACACAGGAGTCTTCGAAACAGCTTTGGAGTTGGAGTTATGTTTTAGAATCAAGCTGATATATATACACACGTACATATATACACACACACACATATATGTGTGTGTGTGTATATATATATTTTAATATGAGCCAGAATTTTTTGGACAATTTAAGGCTTTTCCATAGAGCTTATTTATACCCTTATACCATTTTTTTTTCATTTTAAATGTGTCAGCACTGTAGTGTAAATAGCTTTAAAACATCTTTTTAGTGTGATTTATATTGAAATGTGAGCCACTTAATAAAGGTTCATAATAAATGTTTTCTGTTCAGTTTGCAAAGACAAAGTGACAATTCAGTTAAATCATTTTTTGATACATTGTTTCTCTATGCTGGTATACCCATTTAGAGTGGTAATGGAGTGCAAATGTGTGTATTCAAGTCTAGTAAATATTTAAATTCTCCACACTGTGCAAGCATTTAAAAAAAAAAGATTCAGTTATGATAGCGTGTGTGTGCGTGTGTGTGAATGTATATATGTGTATCCTATTTTGCACAATTTCTTAAGTTGCTCAATAAGATAAGTATGTGAAACTATTTAGCCCCACTTCCTGGAATACATTTTAAAATATTTATTTCAACATTAAAAGAGCAGCTTAGGTAATAGAAAAAATTTTAGAAAGTTGGGAGAAAAAAGATTGAATAATCTCTATCCTAAATAATGAAGATGCGTTGCTAAGGTTTTTATAGTGGTAACAAATTTTCTGTGTTGTATATGGAACAAGTAGGAAGTTTTCTTACTTGATAAGCACTTACGCTCCGCTTGATTATAGCCGAGTAAAATTTCTTTAGTTATAGAAAGTTTTAATTGTGAAAAATTAAAATCCTCTTTTAAAATTTTCTTGAAGAATGGGAAAAATATGGCAAAATTCAAAACCATAAGGGCAGTGACCTGAATACCATATACTGAGACGTAACTAAAAAATACTGTTACCTCGTCTTTCTCAGGATCCCCCGCCCAGCACGAAAGGCAGCTGGGGGTATTTCCTTTTTATAAAGAAGCTCTAGGAAATAAATGCCATAGGAAACAGAATCGCCAGTGCCTAGTTAACGATGAGTGAAACCTGTCTCTTTGGTGAGGGGTCAGCAATATTTCCGAGTGCTTCCACTTCTGTAATTGAGAGGCCGACAAGCCTTGGATGTGTGCACGGACGGCAGGGACTCGGCCGGCCGGACGTGCTCTTGCTTCTCCTTACTCCAGGCTGTACTTGGGCTGATAACTTCCAGCTGCAGTTCTTCGCGCCACATTTCAGTGTTTTCTGTCCTGGCCTCATTCGTGGTACCCATCAAAGCTCATTTCTAGTTAGAAGCCATTTGGGAAGAGGCACTTCACCAGGACACTTAACAACTAACTGCAACAACATGTCGGCTTTGGCCCTCGTTTTTATTTTTATTTTTTGTGGGGTTACTGGAAATCGAACTCAGGACCTCACGCTTGCCAGGCAGGCTCTGCAGCACTGAGCTAATCCCTGGCCCTTGGCCCTATAATAAAAAGGTGGGCAAATATAGGAAATGAATGTTTACCACATGGGAACTCTCACGGGATAGGGAAATCTAAATCCTGATAATGTAAATAGGAATTTTGTCTTATATGTCACTGTCTTATGCTCCCACCTACCTATTTGATCTGCTTTGTTACATTAAATTTAGGGATCTGTATCTTCTTTGGGAAATAAAGTTCTCAAAAAATCCGAATTGAGAAATAGGGATGTGGTTAAAATATTTTTGATCTTTTAAAATTGAAAAGTGATATATTTAAGGTATGTTTTATTTTTACTTTTCCAGTAACATAAATGCACTGACAATGTAAGAAAGTTTCTTTAGGGCAACTCTCTGAAATATATACGCCTTATGCATTTAACTTGGAGGAATGTGTATCTAAAATAATTATAGTGGTTGTTTTCAGGTGTGCTTTCTGATATGACCAATAGTTAGACTTACAAAAATTTGTTTTCTAAAATGCTTAAATCTCTGGAAGTGAAGTTTCCCTAAATCAGTGGGTAACAGTAAATCAGTTCACCTTCAATAAAACTTATGTTGTCTTATGGATATGGTGTATAATTTTTAAATCTTCAGGTCAGTATGAGAACTTGAAAGCCTTTGTCACACATGAATTTCTATTTTAATATTACATCCTATTAATGGTTTCTTAGTACATTCCGGTTCTTTATCTGAGTGGAAGGTTTTTGCTTTTACTTCTAATATCTTGGACCAGAACAATAAAGCACTCAAGATATAATTTCTATATGGTTACATGCTATATAGAATAAATTGTTATATAAATTATTAAATGGGTGTACAGACCTTGAGAATAAAAACTTAGGTACCTCAGTGGTATCTGTTATAGCAATTATTTTTTTTCCTACTTTTGTTTATACCCTGTTAGCTCTACCTGATATATATTCCATACTCAGGCTAGCTGATTAGCTAGCAAAGAATGAAGCACTTGTGATATTTAGTTACAAACTACTAAAGCCATATATTCATTGTCTTCTTTGTCACCAAGAATATTGACCTTAAATAAAGATGAGGTTGATGTAGCACAATTCTGTGTATGTGTGTGCGCGTGTGTGTGCATTTCTGTGGGTGTGAGTTTGCATCCAGGAATGGGGGTGGCATTGAGGGTAGGGAAACATTTCTTCTTTAAGTTAGGTCTCTAAGGTCAATTAGGTCTTTAATGCTCCTGAAGGTAAACAGGTTTTCCCTACATACTTAAGGGCAGGTAAGATTTTTGTAAATAATAAATTAGCACTTTGTTCCTTTCAGTTATTTTTTTTTAAACAAATTTACTGTCATGTAAAATACTGTCTCAATATTCATTTTGCGTTTAGCAGAGGCACAGGATTTGTTTTGGAGTAAGAAAGGTAGTTTCCTTGTATTCTACTTTTCAATAAATGCAAAGATTGATAGCTACAGTCTTTTTTTACCTTTGGCACTGGTGGGACACTTCAGAAAATTCAGTCCACAACTAAAGCTGTGAGTCCTTCATCTTCTCTCCTGCCTTCCTGCTTAGTTCTTTCCGTGACCCACTGTGGACTGAGGACGAAATGACCACACCTAATACGAGGCAGGCAGACCCTGGAAGCAGTTGTCTTTTCCTTGGAAGTGAAGAGACGTGTGTACTCCTTGTGCCGGATGAGCAGGGAAAGCATCTTGCATTTCGGGTGGTCCCCCCTTCCTGCTCTTCCTGGCCTTCAGACCTACTCGGGGAGTGGGAATGAGCTGAGAACAAAGTGTAGGCGCACAGAATCTGTGTGAACTAGAGATTCAAAGTAAAATGTATTGCCTGACGTGTCATTACTGTGATCTGCCTACCAAACACTGCATTTTAACACTGTTAAAAATACAAGAGCTCTGGGTCCTTTGATACCCTTTGAAATTTAGGATCTGTGTGTCTGTTTTTAAAATGTTAAAAGCTGGGCATGGTGGTGCGCACGTGTAATCCTAGCATTTGGGAGACTGAGGCAGGAAGAGCTGTCAGCCTGGGCTACATAGTGAGTTCAAGGCTAGCCTGAACTGCACAGTGAGATATTATCTCAAAAAACAGAAACAAACCCCCACCTCCAGGACAGTGAACTACCCTATAAAGCTCGGTACTGTTGTACTATTAAAAACTGTGGGAAAAAAACTGTGAAGACACAAAAGAAAGCCAATATAGTGACATAATTAGCATTACAGTGTTGAAAAGGTATTTGAAAGTTCGATTCCCCCTGAGAAAATTTTCTTCAAGCTTTTTCTTTTGAGGAAGCAGCTTTTTACAAGAATAATTTCAAGTTTGTTGTCGAAACAGCCTTTTGTGGAGCTTGGTTTTGTTAATGCCTGTGTTCTTTCTTAAATTCTTGGAAATCTTTGTGTTTGCTTCCTCATTTTTAACGTGGAGTTGAGATGATTTTCTCAAGGGCCGCCTTTCAACTGCTTGTATCAGTTGACTGAACCTCTTAGTTGCTTCTGCTTAATCCTGACAGTGCTTAGCAGCCTCCACGCCTTAGAACTCTCATTTAAGTTCTCCTCCTCCTCCTTCGTGTGTGTGTGTGTGTGTGTGTGTGTCTTTTTAGATACGGTTGTTACCTGTTCACAAAAAAGTCCACAGTGGCTCCTTTCTTACAGGACAAAGGCCGGACGCCGCCTCCTGCACTGACAAGGCTCCACGGTAAGTCTTCCTTTCCAGACTCGTGTGCCGCAGGGTTTCACTGCATGTGTCTCGTTTCCAGCTTTGCCAGATGACAGGTTACAGGCACATGTGCAGGTCTCCTCTGGAGACCTGCTTTGAATACTTAAATCTGTGGAAGTTTGAGTCTTAAATAAAATGGACCAAGTATGTGCACATAACCCATGCACATCCTGCATACACTTTAAGTCTCTGGGTTACTTGTAATGCGGACTACGGTGATTACTTAGGGATAATAAGCAGCAGCGGCAAGTTCTCGGTGTGGTTGTGTCTTTCTGAGTATTTTCAGCCTGCAGTTGGTTGCATCTGTGGATGAAAACCCTGTGTGTGTGGAGTGCCAACTGTACCTTTCCTGCGTGGACACTCGAGTCCCTTTTGTCTCTGCTGGGAGACGTCTGGGATGTGTGTGGTGACGTACAAGTCTTCCCTGTCCTGACTGCACCCTGGCTGTTCCTGCACCTGGTGGCTGTTGGGCCGCTGCTCGGCCCCTCAGCCCCTCGGCCCCTCGGCCCCTTTGCATACACGGCTTCACAGTATGCATGAGAGACCAGTGAACTGGGAGCTGTGTCAGCAGTAGTCTGTATTGCTTTTACCCCCACGCCTAGTTCAGAGTATACTTGGCACTAATAAATATTTCAAGAAACAAAAGTAACAGGGATGGGAAGACAAATGATGTAGCCTTGTCTAGGATTCAACAGAAAGGCCAGGGAAGGAAAATTAGACCGTTAGGCACTGTCATAAACCAAGTTTTTATTTTGTAAGTGGCCTTTCGGATAAACTTTAGGAATACAGCTATTAGATATCCAGGACCATTGGGCAGTATGGCAAGAGGAGGTATAAACCTATAGAACCTAACATTTTTGCCTTTGACTAGCTTTTTGGGAGAAACAATGAGTTACTACAAATGAAGTTTTAATAATGTTCTACATGATTTAAAATGGCAAATATTGTATAAATGGTCCCTTTATAGTTCATAGTCTGAAGCAGAATTCAAATGTTTGGCTTAATTGGCAAGTAGATTATCAGAAAGATTTACCTTGTTTAAGCCTAAGCTTGTTCTGTACAATTGTGTGTGGTTTTCCTGCTGATACCCAAGCATTGGAAATACTGGTGTACAGGTAACATGTACTAGCGTTTCAGCCTGTGTCCCGTTGTAGGAGTAGGTCAAGGATGTGAAGCGGCCTATTTCCAGCCAATCCTAGGACTCCTTCATGGCGCATTAGACTGATGTGTCAGTAACCACAGCCCTGAGGAAATCACTGAGTGTCTTTCTTATCTGTAGAGGAAGTAAGACCTGTGCTGCTAATTGTGATGAAAGGCACCTGAGAGGACAGCCACGTGCTGAGCACATTGTCTGGCTTATTCTGGACACGTTAGCAAGTGCAGCTGCTGCTCCTGGACAGAAACAGAAGAGCAGTTGGGAGAGCTGCGTGCTGGGTCACCCGAGTCATTCTGCACCTTCCCCTCGAACTCCTGTCTCCTTTTGGTATTTGGCACTTGAATTCTGAGCAGAAGGCAGAATATGGGAAGAAGAAAAGGCCTGGGAGAGGTGTGGTGGGCACTGAGAACCCTTCCTCCTCTTCACTGGTCTGCTCAAGGTTGGCAACTCAGAACCTGGCCTCTGACTGCCTGTCCTCATGTGGCTGCCCTGTGGAGACTGGCCGAGGTTATGTTCATGGGGGACTTCGTGGAACTTCCTGATGGATAGTGCTAGGACTGGATGACGTGAGTACAGGGCAGGCAAACTCAGAAAACATCCCTTGTAAAAGCTGGACTAGAAATCACAGTAGCTCAGCCTGGCCTTACATGTGCAGTAATCCTCCTGCTTCAGCCTCCTCTGAGTGCTGGGTTACAGTGTGCCCCACCACACTGGGCACCCCAACAACCCATGTGCATTTGATAACAAGTGCCTTGCACTGATACATTTTTTCCTTGCTTTCTGTAGAAAACCAATTTGTAGAAATCCCATTTGGAGTTAAATTCTTTCATTTTTCAGAGCCCATGAGCTAATTGTATTTCATTTATCTGGGCTTTCGCCTCTCACTGTAACAAGTAGGAATACTCCTGCTAGTTCTGCCACTTGACTGCCCAGCGGTCGTCTCGGAGTACAGGATGCCAGCAGTGCTGTGCGCTTGGAGAAAAGCTAAGTGGAAAGCACACCAAATTTGTAAGCTGAACAGCCCTTAAAAGTACAGTAAGGGTATCTCTAGGAAGTGCTCTAGCTCTTGAAGCTTTATGTATTTTCTTGGGGCCGGCAGACCTTCTGTTTCCAAGCGGCTCTGTGTTCCCTGTGTGTATAGGCAGGGCCACTACATCACATCTTTATGTTCAGGCAGTGTTACTCAGTTGTGGGTCCTTCGAATGTCTTTTTTCTTTTTATTGAGACAGTGTCATTTTGTAGTGCATGCTGGCCTCGAACTCATGGTTACCCTCCTGCCTAAGCCTCCTGAGTGCGGGGATTACAGGCCTGTGCCACCATGCCTGGCTTTTTCTTTTTGTATTTCAAGTCCTACAAAAAGTTATGTTGCTCACAAGCTTTTATTCAAATTATAACAATCTTTGGTTCAAACAAGAGTTTTATGTTCCTAAATTACATATATGTACTACCCTGAAAGAAATGGCCTCAGTAAAAGGTTTTAATGCTTAACTTTCCTTCTGGAGGGCACCGTGTGATCTTGAAACCCATTAGTAAATTTCTCTGTATCATAAAAGAAATATCCTCTAAAGCCAAATGTAGAAAGACATTTTCTCACAATAGTAATTGTTTATGTTGTTTTTTCTACTTGTAAGCATAGTTCTGTCTCTAATGTCTTTGATTACTGTTTAATGCATTATAACCACTGGGGTACACAGTGGTGACTCAACTGTGGGCATTAGCATGGTAATACAGCAAATTTAAGAGTTCTGCTTTTGGAGCCTGGGATATAGCTCAGCGGCACAGCTTCTTGCCTGGCAAGTGTCAGGTTGAGTTTGATCCCACTACCCCCCCCAAAAAAAAAAGAAAGTTAGTTCTATTTTTTTACAACCCAAATGCATGTTAATATTGATCCCGATGCATGAACAGGTTGGTTACTGTGTTGCCTTTTACATATAATTCTTAGGCATTTTCTCTTTGTTGAGAGAAGGGGAGGAAGAGACCTGCTTTTTCTTAGTCTCACTGATTTTTGCTTTTGCTTGTTTTCCGTCCTAGTCAGGGGTCAGCAAACTACTTCCCATATCCCCTGTCTAGCCCCCCACCTGCTTTGTGTGGTAAGGCAAGAAATTTTGACAATTTTAAATGATCAAAAAAACAATCAGAAGAATATTGTGTGATATGAAAGAGTAGGTGACATTTAAGTTTCACGTTCATTAAATTTTGGTGTGTGGCTGCTGTCTCTGCCACAGGGGCTGAATTCTGGACCGGAACCCTACATTCCACGTGTCCCCCGACAGAAATGTCTTACAAACTCCTGGCTGGCTGTTTACTCTGGGCCAGGGCCTCTTTTCATTTCCCCAGAAGGGCTTGCTGTTAGATAATACTTTCACCTGAACTACAGAGATGAAAGGATTATTTTGAATTTACCTAATATATTCCAGAGACCAAACAGCTTGGCTCTCTCTGAATTAGGAATATCTGTTCCCATCTAGAACAGTTCCAGATATATCTGAAATTCTATTTTCAGATACCCAAAACACTTCAATGTTAATTATAAGAACATATTTGCAATTGATTTTTATTTAGCTTAGTTCTTAGTTTTAAAAGTTGAACAAGAATTTAAGCTGTCTTAATTTGTGGTGCTTGAAACTTAACGTGTTTGTAAAGGAGAAAGAGCCCAGAATTATATACTAAAATAATCTGCATTAGCAGCCAAAAACTGAGCTGTTAAAAGCAGAACATGGTGCCACTTTAGATTTCCTGGAGTTGACTGTGAAGGCCATCCAAAGCAAGCATCATCATCCTGCTTTAGCCAGCATCCCCTTTAGGGTTCGAGGCCATCTTTACTTCCGTGGAGTTGGTCACGGACCCCACTAGGGTGCCGACACTTCTCAAAGCGGGACACCTCTCACAGTGAAGGGGGCTGACAACAGGCAGGATCTGGGCCTGCTCGGAGGAATGAGGATGAAGGCCCTGCTTTAGGAATAGTCCGTGCTCACTCATCTGTCCCAAACAGAAAGAGGAGCGTACAGTGACTTAGCACAGATAAAAATAACCAAGGTTTTCCTTCATAGCTTACAAGCATACACAGCCATTTACTTTGGTCATTAACAGAGCATGATATATTCAACTTCTATGCAAGTATGTAGATTAAAGGTTTTGAGATTTTTTAAAAATATGAGCATGCGCTAAGCATTTATTAACTTGTTGCTAAGCAAACTAGTGAGTAACTGTAGTTCAAGAGCATATGAGTAGGGACTAAAATCAGGTTGGAATAAGATTGGTATGTTAGATAAACTGGTTGATGTACTGCAGGGAAATAAAGTAGTAATCTTCAGGGTTACCTTCTGTACTAGACCAATGGGATACGGTCTTGCCAGGCAGTTACCCTTGTTGAGATCCCCTGCCTCAGCCTCCCAAGTACGGGGATGACAGGTTCGCCACCACACTCAGGTAGAATAAAGGCTTTATACTTTAACTGTTGAGCATGAATGGGGAGTATGTATATGGTCCAACTCCCCACAATGAATATAATCATTATGCACTGAAAACATACTAATAAAATTTTAAAAATATACATACAACAGATTATTCACAAGTCATGTGGAAAAATAAGGTCAAAAACAAACTTTATTTACAGAGTGATAATAAAGATATCCATAAGCTGAGTAATTCAGCTTTGCTTTGATTAGAAGTCTATGATTCACCGACCTTATTGCATGGAATCAGAAGATCGCTGCTGCATGCGTTATTTCCCGCCAGGTCTCGGGCCTTCTAGCAGCTCCCTTTAAAGGTCTGGAACATTTTAATAATCACTTGTTGCAGAGCAGCAGACACAAAATGAGCTCTGTATGCAGACTTCAGTCTCTCACAAAAAAGACGTTATAGCCCAGTTCCGTCAGCGCCCCAGCCAGTAGGGCCCACAAAGGGATGAAGACGTAGGACAGGTTCATAGTTGTAAACTGCTCCAGCCTGGCACACAGGGCGAGGCAGAAGGCTAACTTGAGTAACATGGCGATGAGGTACCAGGCTTTCTTCTTAATGTTGTGGGACCCATGGCGAGGGTCGAAGCCAGACTTGCACCGGCCGGCCATTTTCACGATCAGCATGACGAGGAGGATGGTGTCGAATATCCAGACCGGAATGAATATGAGGAACCAGTTCCAGGGCGCCTTCTCATCCAGTTTCAACACCAGCATGATCAGGAAGAGCAAGGTGAAGAGCCAGGTGAGCAGCACCCTCTGGGCCAGGGACATTCTCATTTACACAGCTGGGAGAGGCCGCTGCAGGGTCCGAAGTGGGGCAGCACTCCCTACGAGGACAAGAAAGGGTTGTCTGGGTGCGGGTCCGAAGGGAGCCTGCAAACCTGGCTCCCTTCCCACTAGACCCTCTAGTTCTGAACACACCACATCACCTCTCCTTTAGAAACTTCTAAAATCCGGAGCAATGACCGCCAACAGAGCCATCGTTTCTTACAGCCCGTGGCTAAGGGTAAGCACACTAGGAACCAGGTCCCGAGGAGCCTGTTTCTTTAGAGCTAAGCCCAGAAACTCAGGACCTTATTCTGCTCCTCGGGATATTCTTCACCTCTCTATTCAGGAGCAAAACTTGAGCTTTTCATTCCATTTCAAGGGGTACCAAGATAAAGTGAAGTCAAAGCAGTAAGAGGGAAGGAGGTAGTACGTATCTAGTAGAGAGTTTTCTTTTTTGGGTCTTTGTCAATACAGGATCTTACTATGTGGTTTAGACTGGACTTGAATTCACTAATAGCTGAGGCTGACCTAAAACTCTCAGAAGTCCTCCTGCCTCGGCCTCCCAAGTGTCTGGATCACAAGTGTGCACCAGCATGCCTGGTGAGAAGAAGGTTTTATAAGGTAGAAATGGTTCATAAAAACTAAGAACATTAAGCAATCATCAGGCAGAATTAAGATTGTGAAGTGGTCACCGGGCTATATAATATACGATGGCATTATATTTGCATTTAGTTTATATTGTACATTTAGTTAATTCTCTGGTATTTTCTTGTTAAAACAGACCACCTAAAAACTTGATACATATTGCAAGTATCTGATGGTAAGTTTTTCAATAATCAAGGCATGACTTATATCACTGTTCTGCCTCACTGACCTAGCCTTTTGCCTTGCAGGAAAAGCACACAACTCACTACTGATTTAGGATAGGTAAAAGGTAGTCATATTTGGAAGATCTCATAACTACTCAGTTTGCCTTTCTAGAATATTTACTATTTCAGTTTTTTCATTTCTAAAAGCATTAAACGAATTGATAAAACCTTGGAATTCTGATTGAGACTGCATTAACTTACAACACCTAGGATATTTTATCTATAATTTTTTATATATAAATAATATTTTATACATAAAATGTAGTATTTTATGTATAAAATAAAATATACATAAGCGTCTGTAGACGCTTACAGTGTGGTACTATTGTAGTCAGGTTTTCAGACCAGTCCTGTGACCACCTGGAATAAGGGCAGGTAGGACGCAAAAGAACGGAGGAGCCAGACTGCCCTCAGGTGGGTGAGGCGTTAACAGGAGATAACAAAATGCAGACAGCTGAGAACATTTTATTCCCTCCAGCTATTTGGAGAAGAGACGAAAGATAAGACGCTGAGCGTGAGAAAAGGATCTTCAGACATTTTTAGGAAAGGAGGAATTTAAGTACTGTAGATCCCGCTGGGAGAAGTATGCTCCTGGGAAAGGACAGGCGACGAAAGAGGACTCTGGCTGGAAAGCAAAGATAAGGTGCTAGGGGTGGGTGATAGGAGAACAGAAGAGATGCAAAAAGGTAAGAAACAAGGAAAATCTAAAGAGCCTGGCGAGGTGACTCGCGCGCCCGCTGTTCTTTTGGGAGACTCCGGATTTGTGGATGCACAAGGCGTGGGTGCGGCGGACAGCGCAGGCCCCTTTGTTCCCGGAGCCTAGGGGTGAGCGTCCCCCTCCCTTTCCCTTTGGCCGCCGCCTCGCCCGGCAGCCTCCACCGGAGCAGGCGACAGCTCCACCGCTCTCCTGGGGGTACCAGGACGCGAGAGTGTGAACTCGGGAGGAGAGGCAGAGATTTGCGCTGACCGATACCTAAATGACGCTGCACTGACTGATCTCCAATCTGGTCGTTCGCGAATCCCTCTAGGAAGCGTGCAGATAAGGCACGTACTTCAACATAACTTGCCTGCCGCTGCATGAGGCAAGCTTCTTTTTCTTTTTCTCGTCGGCCGGGAGGCAGCCCTAACTACAGACTTAGGACAGGAGGTGGAAGGATGCAAAGGACAGAATCCTCCCGTGGCCACCGCTTTATAACGTGGGCGGCCACGAATGTCTCGCGCACTTGCAAGCAGCCCCTCTCCAGCGGGGAGCTCCCCGCTGGGGCCCGGAACGATGCCGGCGGGACCGTAGGAGTGTTCATCCTGCACCGCACTCTCCTTAACTTAAAAAGCAGAGCGCGCGCACGGTCCCCTCCCGAGGTCCCGCAGGCCAGGGAGCTCCGCGCTCTGAGGCCTCTGCACCGCGCCGCCCCTGCCCCGAGGGCCCTCCGGATAATGACGGCCTCCGACGGCCGCTGCAGTCGCCAGGCCGGCCAGCGTCCCGCTTCCCAGGCGGCCGGTCGGGCCTAGCGGCCCCCGGCTTCAGGCCGTCCCTCAAGCCTCCGGGCCTTCGTTGGCTCGCGCGGACCGTCCGGCTCCCCACGGGCGGTCAGCCGGCCTCAGGCGTTCCGCAGCCCCGGCCGGGCAGGTGGGGCGGGGCGGGGCGGGGCGCGGCGGCCGCTCTGTCCCGGGGAGGCCAGCGCCCAGACTCACCTGGCAGCGCTGCTGGCCGGAGAGCGGGGAGGGTCGCGAAGATGAGGGAACGCGCCAGTTTGGATCCTTGTCCGCCACACTTTCCCCCCCATTCAATCCAGGGCCCGTCACATGATAATTAAGAATAATATTCAGTTCCGCCACTCGGCCGGGCCACGACAGACGTTCTCTCAGCGACAGACACCTCAGGGCCACGCCCACATCCGGGGCCGGGTCGTTCCGCCCCCAGGCCTGGGTATTGGAGAAGTGGACGCCAATCTGAGCGCAGAGTCTTCTTTCCCCATAGTGATTGGACTACGTGGCCGCCAGTTCAAACCAACCGACCTGTCCTCACTTACGATTTAGACAAAAAGGCGGTAATAAAGAACACATTAGGCCCGCCTCTAACTGCTACGGGCTGGGAAGAAAGTCATTCTAAACTGAGCCCCGAGCTTCGGTAGTCCCTCTGGGAGCACAGATGCTAATCTGAATGGCCAGCGCCCCGCCCCGCCCCCAAGACCGCTCCGCCCTCCGTGCCCCGCCCCCTCCGGCCCGCCCACTAGCGCGCGCGGACTGCGGGCTGGGGCGCAGGCTCCGGCGGCCGGGGGCGGGGCGACGCCGTGGAGGGAGCGCGCCCTCCGCAGACTCCCTGAGCTCCTCGGCTCCGGCGGCGGCGTCTCCCGCGCGCACCCAGCCGCCTCCTAGCGGCGCGGCGCCCGCTCCCAGGTAAGAGCGGCTCCGGCCCCGCCGGCGGGTTGCGCGGGAGTCCCCGGGATGGGTCTGCATGGCCGAGGCGGCGGCGGCGGCGGCGGCGGCGGCTGCATGAGGTGGGCGCCGGGCCGCCCCACGCCGCCGCGATCCCTCCTCAGCACCTGCGGCCCGGCCCCGCGCGGCGGGGGCTCTGCCGGGCCGCCGTCTCCGCTGCCTCGGGCGGGGGGAGCGGGGTCGCGCTCACCCCGGGGTGACAGCCGCGTCCTCATTGTCCTGTGGCGCCGCGGCACAAGTTGGCGGTCGCCGCGCCGCCCGGGTTATTTTTAGCCGGCTGCCGAGCAGGGGTGCGGAGAGGCAGGCTGGGCCGTGGCGGGGGTCGGCGTCGGGGTTGGACTGAGCCCCGCGGGCCGAGGCGTCCTGTGCAGGTGGTGGCTTTGTTAGATACATCATGCTCCGTGAGAGGTGACTTTGTGTGTGACACTTTGATTTTGAAGTTTTGGGTTTACTTGCACCCCACATTTTTTCCGTTTTTACCTTCTTCCTCTGAGACTTTGACCGTGTTGTTAGTATTGGATCTTGTGGTTGTTTTTGTGAAAGTTGTGTTGTCAATAACTGGTTAATTTTATTTTTTCCCTTACAGCATTTTTTTTGGAGGAGGGGATACTGGGAATCGAACTCAGGACGTCATGCTTGCCAGGCAGGCACTGTGCCACTGAGCTAGATCCCTGCCCCTCTTACAGCGTTTTAATAGTGGAAGGAAAGTCTGAGAATTTCGAGACTGTGCCCTTTTGCCCAAAGAGCTGTAAGATACCATACCAGTTAAATATCCTAACCTGAGCTGGATTTGGTGATGCACTCCTGTAGTCCCAGCCCTCAGGAGGCAGAGACGGGAAGACTGCCAGGAGTTCGAGGCCAGTCTAGTAGACCCTGTCTCAAAGAAACAAAAACAAAACATAAAATCCTATGTCGCATCGGGAGTACAGTCAGCTAATTTTAAGACAAGGAAATGGGCATGCCTTGTCCTTTGTAGTAGTTCAGCCTTCAGATTCTGGAGGAAAGGGCAGCGGGAGTGCTGGGAAGAATGAGCCATGTCTGGGATCAGAAACAAGATGGTTTGAGGAAAATATTTTGCCCTGGAGATTGCCTGTCACCCACAGGGGCTTGCTGTGTGCGTTGCTCTGGGTGCTAGCGAGTTGGGGTTTATCTGTTCCCCCTTTTTTGTGCTTTCTTGCAGAGTGTGACAGTAAGCAAATCGGGTAGAGTTCATTGGAGACAGGATTCTGGCTCAGACCTCCAAAGTTAGCTTTTTTGAGCTCAAATTGGCATTGGAGAAGTTGGCCCTAAAAGTAAAGAATGTAGCTTGAGGACTTTTTAAATCCCAAGACCTTTCAGCGAGTCCATTGCAAAATTGCAAGACCTTTGTAATGAAATAAAGGCATCACTAGACGGAGCCACAGTGACTTGATGGTGATGTGTCAGAAATGAGCAGTCAGGTATGGCCATGCCACCTGTGTTCATTACAGTCCAGAGGCTGAGGAAGGCGAGAGAGTTGAGGCCAGCCTGGGCTACAAAGTGAGTTCAAGATCAGTCTTAACTACGTACCATGTCCCCGCCTCAAAAAAACAAAAGAAAAAAGGATCAGAAAATAAGTTAAAATTTACACATTATAGTGTTTAACCCTAATCCTATCAGGTAGGGACTTGCTAATTATTGTCCTCATGCTTTGTAGATGAGGTGAATGTGATTCAGGTTAACTCATATTTTTTTTTTTTTGGTACCAGGGATGGAACTCATGACCTCAGGCGCATACACTGCTGAGCTAAATCCCCAGCCCAACTCATTTGTTCTTGATTTCAGTATTTTATTTGGTGGCTTTGATATAGGACCTCCAGACGATACAGAGGCAGTTAATGTAACTCTTACCCTGCTAGATGAATTCTTGTTTCCCAAAGTCAAGAATGAATTCTAAGGAACAGCAAAGGTTAAAAGTGGGAAGATTTACTAGGGAAAAGGAATGTCATCTCCTGAGAGACAGGAGTCCTGAGTGGGTTGCCAAAGAGCCCACTTCTCAAAGGAAGTTTTTTTTTTTTCTTTTTGAGACAGGGTCTCTGTGCTGTTCAGGCTGGCCTCGAGCTCACTTTGTAGCACAGCCTCTCGAGTGCTGGGATTACAGGCCTGTGACACCATGCGCAGCTTTTCTCAAAGGAAATTTTATAGAGCAAATCAGTAGGTGAGTACAACAATTATGATCAGCCAATAACATTACAAATATAGTTACTAAGGTAATACCTGTAGAATTGAAAGCAGGTCATGTAGTAATGTACATGGATGACATCATTAACCTTGATTGATGATCTGTAGTCTGAGTCTTGTCCTTAGTTTTAGTAGTGCTTATGTGTGGGAGAGGATAGCCAAACCTTAATAAGCTAATGGTTTATTCTGGTAATGGGATTGAACTCAGGACATCAGGTGCTGTGCTGTTGAGCTATATCCCCAGCCCACCCAGCCAGAGTTCTGATGTGTTCTTGTCTTCTGCACTGACTCCCTCTAGGTCCCAGCCCTGTCTGACTGCCTATAGTATTTCTAAGTTAGCTGTCTATAAGAGTCACATCCAGCCGGTTTAATTTCAGAGCCTGCATTCCATGCCATTTTGCTTTACCATTGCACAGTAAAACTTGCTTCTTAGAGATTTGGCTGGTGATAGAATTTTTCGGTGCAGAAGGGAACCATCTGATAGGATTTTGGCATGGTTGAAAAGATAAAAAGTATGAAATATAAATGACCTTCATTTTAAGAATGTGGGGAGAGACCCCCTGACCCTCCGGGGTCTGGCATTCTCTATGGGGTCTGGCATTGTTTCTGCCAGACACGTGGTGTGGGGGCATACACGTAGTTTAGGTTTGGGATGGTGCCTAGGGGGCATTAGTGATGCACAGGTAGCCCATTGGTATTGATTTCGAGCCACAGGTAAATTCCTAGGGGCGGAGAAGATAGAGCCCCTTGGTTCCACCTCCGGCTACAGTGGGGCCAAAACCTTTCAGCCGGAAGAGACTAATCAGTTACATAATGCTGCAAAACCATAAACTGAATCTAGTATTGTACCGATTCAGTAGTAACACTTTCAGATCATTTTATAACGATGTCAAGTGTTGCTGAGGGTATAGGGATGGAATCACTCTTTTTGAGGAGATTCTCTTTAGGGGCAGAGAGAGAGAGACAGACAGATTGGACCAAATTATAATACAGTGCATACCAAAAGAGAGTATTGTAGCACCTGTGGTTTCACTGAAAGATAATTCAAAGTGTAGACACAGATTTGTTTGGCTTTTGAGGCAATTTCACGGTGTAGTTGAGGCTGGCTCAGCGATCCTCCTGCCTCATCCTCCCAAGGGCTGGGATTATAAGTGTGCATCTCCTTTGGACTATTATCCTTTTCTCTAAACAGATGAGGAAGTGATTTAGCACGGTGCCTGGGCTACCACACCCTGCTAGACACTGTGGTTTAGAATGCTGATGGGCTTTGTGACTTTCAGATGCTGAATCTCTCAGTGTCAGTTTCCTTATCTGGTGGGGGGAGGGTAAAGCTTCAAAGGCGATCCAGACCTATGATCCCACCCTGGGAAGGATGAGGCAGGAGGCTCACAGTGAGTCATAGGCCAGCCTGAGGAAAAACAAAAACTGTTTCTGAAGATGGTCTTTAAATAGATAGTTTATATAAAAGTGGCTGGGCAAATTGACTACTACCCAGTATTGGTGGTTAGAGATTACATTCTTAAATACTAAAATTACAGAAGCAGATTGCCTTTTGGTACATTTTTATATACTATTTACCATTTGGTCCTTATTTTCCAAATGCTGATTCAGTCTCTTATTTACACATGTGTAGGTCCAGCTAAGCAGTTGATTCATGGCTGTATTGACATAGTCCATCCTAAGCTGCAGCAGGACTGTCACCCTTAACCTCTCTGCCTGCTTTGTAGTCCCGCAGGTCCAACCTTGCAAACTTTGCTTTGTGTGGATGGTAACTATGTCCTCTTAACCCCGGCTGGAATACAGCAGAATGTTTAAAATTGGGACTTCCCTTGCAAAATCTGAGAAGTAGTTTCACACTTTATTTTACCTCCCTCTCAGCTTAGCATCCAGCATACAGTTCGCCATACATACATCTGTCAAATGTGTAAGTGTGAATCCTCACTTGATGGCCAGAGTCAGACGATTTTGAAAATATTACATGACTGCTATGTTTTTTGTGCAGCTTGTCAGCCTAATACAATTGCTAGACGAAGGTACACTTTCAGATGAGAGCAACTGGCCGCTTCCTCGAATAGGAAGCTTTTGAGCGCAAGGAAAGAAAGAAAGAAAATATGCTGGATTTCACTCTGAGTAATATGTCGGAACTGTGCAGGAAATGGCTGTGGTTGAAGTACTACCTGATAATCATAGCATGATTAAATTTGACATTTAATGAGAGGAAGTTAAAGACAAAATGCGTAGTGTGCAGCTTTCCAGTTATAGAACCAGTAGGGAAAAGGGGCCGTTCAGTTTATAGAAATTTCACAGGTGTGGAAGGTACTGATATTTGTGGCATGCATAATGTTACTTTAGTAGAATGTTCACAAACGGATCTGTCACAGATAGCAAAACAGTGTATGAAGGTACATGGCACAGGTTTCAGTGCCCTGTAGAGCTAGCTCAAGTCCCAGCTGGACCATCTGCTGTGAAGTGACTTTGGGAATTTCCCCCCTGCCCCGCAAGGGTCTTACTCTGTGGCTCAGGTTGGCCTCAAAATCAGTTGTAGCCATGGCTGGCCTGGAACTGGCTGCAGTCCTCTGGCTTCTCTGGTTGCAGGTGTGTACTGCCACACCTGGCTTTTAAAAACTTTGAGAGCTAGATTCTCACAGAATTGCCCAGAGTGGGCTCCAGCCAGTCCTCTTGCCTCCCCCTCCCGGAGTCCTGGGATTACAGGTGTGTGCAACTTTGGTTTGTAGGAAGGATTTTACCTACGAGTTGTTTTTTAGTGAATAAAGAGCTGTTCGGTTCATTTCTTCTTGAGTTAGCATTGAATGTATCTCTGAAGGGATTTTTCATCTAATTTATGAGATCCATTGGCATACAGTTATTTATAATCTTATTATTTTAATGTCTGTAAGATCTGTAGTTATATCCCTACTCATTTCTAACCCAAAATTTGCATCATTTTTGGTTTTTTCATCTGTTTAGTCTGGCTAGAGTTTACTTTGTTTTTGATTTTAAAGAACCAGTTTTTAGCCAGGCATGGTGGTATAATCGCAGCACTTGGGCTAAGGCAAGAGGGTCACTGCAAGTTTGAGACCAGCCTGAATTACAAAGTGAGCCCAAGGCCAGCCTCAACTGTGTAGTGAGACCCTGCCTCAAAAAGACAAAAAACAAAAACCAAAACCAAAAAAACCCCACAAAAAAATCAGCTTTTGGTTTTCTCTATTGATTTTCTGTTCTGTTTCTCTAAATTCTATTTTTATTACTTCCTTTCTATTTACATTTTATTTGCCCTTAATTTACTAGTTTGTTAAGGTGGAAATTTAGCTCCTTGATTTAAAACCTTTATTCTCCTCTAAGGAAAGTAATTAATGCTATAAAATTTCCTTAACTAACCAGGCACTACCGGTAGTGCACACCTGTGGTCTCAGCACTGAGGAGCCTGAAGTAGGAGAATTGTGTGAGTTCACGGCCAGACTGGGCTGCATGTGAGACCCTGTCTCAACAAACAAACAAACAAACAAACATGTCCCTTACACAGTACTTTGTATGCATCCCACAAATGTTTTCATTTTCATTCACGTTCATAATACTTGCCTTTTTTCCTTTGTGATTTTTTTCGACTCCTTTGGTTAATTAGAGCATGAGTTTCTTTTTGTGTATTCTCTCTCTCTCTCTCTTTTTTTTTAAAGTCAGGGTCTAGCAATCTAGTCCAGACTGGCCTTGAACTCACTATTTAGCCTGGGCTGGCCTTGAACTGGCAGTAACCCTCCTGCCTCAGCCTCCTATAAGTTCTAATACTTGGGATTTTTCAGATCTTTCGGTTGCTGATCTCTAATTTAAATTCACTGTGGTCGAAGACTATACATTATGTGAATTGAGACATTTTAAATGATTTGTGGTCCTAAATATGGTGTGCTTTTAAATGATTTATGAGCACTGGAAAAGACTGCTGTACCAAGTTGATCACCTAGCGCCTGTCTTATATATCCTTGCTATTTTCTGTCTGCTTATTCCATGACTTTTTGAGAGAAGGGTATAAAAATCTATAACTGTGAACTTGCTAGCTTTTTTCCTTGCAGTTTGTCAGTTTTTGCCTTGTACGTTTTGAAGGTTAGTCTGTTATTGAGGCTTTTATAATCTTTTAATGAATTGCATTTATTAGTGTGAAATTTCCTTCATTTTCCTGATAATATAGTGTTTTCCTTTGATTAGTATTAGCATTGTGTTTTGCTTTTTTTTTTTTTTTTTTTTTGTCTTTTTCATTTTTATCGGTACCAAGGATCGAACTCACAACCGCCTGCTTGCAAGGCAGGTGCTTATGCCGCTGAGCTAAATCCCCAGCCCCCGTGTTTTGCTTTTAATCTAGTTTATATTTATAGTCAAATGGGTTTCTGATAGTATGTAGTTAGTTTTTGCTCTTCTTGGTCCAGTTTTCTATTTATTTATTGACTGACTGACTGATTGGTTGAGACAGGGTCTCACTATGTAGTTTAGGCTGGCTTTGAACTCACTGTGTAGCCCAAGCTGGCCTTGAACTCACAGCAACCCTCTTGCCTCAGCCTTCCCAACGCTGGGATTACGGCATGCACCACCAGGCCCAGCTTAGCTTCCCTTTTAATTTGTACCATTTAATTTAATGTGAGTACTGATATTGTTTGGTCTGAATCTGTCGTCTTGCTGTCGTCCCCTCTGTTCTTTTTTGCTTCCTTTGGGTTGTTTTTTTATCACTCCATTTTGTATCCTTTTTTGGCTTATCTCTGTGTGTCTGTTTGTTCCTCAGTACTGTAGCGGCTTGCACTCACTTAACTCCTCAGAGCCTGACTTGGGGTGAAATAACACCGTGTGTGTTAGCAGTGTACTTTTATGCCTGTAACACTGTTTTCCTGCTCTCAGACTCTGTGCTGCGGTCAGACCTTTTAGTACTGCGTGTGTTAGAAAGCCCGTGGCGCAGTATTGATTCTTTTAGCTTTAAACAGTCAGTTTCCTTTTAAG